CCGCACCACCCCCCTCCCGCCCCCATCCCGACCGTACTGCCGTCCCCGTGGGCGGAAAACCCGTGAACGGCCGTTCACGGAATTTAGTCCCGGTGACCGGCCAGTCACGTTCATGGGACCTGCACTGCTGAACACTATGCTGGTCATGGAGAACAAAAAACTAAACTATAAAAAATAAAGAAAAGAAGCGGATTCGGAAGTCTTTAGACTGTCAAGGATCCTCATCTGCAGGTGAACGCTGCCCGGACCGATGCGAAGCTCGTCCATGTGCCCGACCAGTGCCACGTGGTCGACCTCTCTGGCGTTGCTCGCCGCGACCAGCAGTGGAACGCTCAGGAGGGTCGTCGGGGTCGTCGTCCATGATAACTCTCCTGCCTCTAGTTGGTCAGACACGTACAGTTGCTAAATCAACATGTCGGCGGGACTCGCGACGCATTGGCAGACCGCCTGCCCCTGAAGTCTCCCCCTCTTGGCGTCGATCGATTGGCACGTGTCGGGTCTGCCTGGCTCGTCGACCAACCTGAGGCTCCTCTAAAACGATGGAGGCCTCTCTCAAACCGTACGTTAGTGGCCGTTGTACTGCCTCTGCATCGGCGTCGCGCGTGCCCTCATGTCCACTACGCATGCCGCCACTATCCCCGCCTCTATCGCCAAACCCCGACGCCACAACCGAACAAAATCGTGTCTCGTCCATGGTCGCTCGTGTCTCTCCGTCGATGGGCATCCGACCTCAGGGTGTGACCACCGCTCGGCTGGACATCTGTGGTCGGGGGTGACAACGGCCCTCCACCCCCATGAGAGGGCACTGCAATAGAACCTCCAGATGGTAAGCTCAGGCTGGCTGGCGCCCAAGACAAGTTCTGCAAGCCAGTGTCGATCTAAGTGTAAACCATCGTGCCGTGCGCCTCCAACTCCTCGGCGGTGATACTGTCAAAAGCAAGGGTGTCTCGAGGCTGAGGCACATACCTCGATTGTGTCCTCTCCCTAGACGGTGCGAAAGGTGAGATCCGAGGTGCACACATGCCCCTGCCTACACATCGCTCTCCGATCGAGGAGACACCACCTCCACAATGCCTCGGATCTGCAGGAAACAGTGCCTCATGTGGCACCACCGGCCCCACGGCCATGCGCACCACAAAACTCCGCGACGCCTCCTGTCTGTCTCTGTCGGGCGTACCGATCGCCTCCTCTCTATGTCCAACCCCGCTATCGACCACTGCATGGCGATCCGCCCAACCATGGGCACTGGATCACCATGAACTCGCTTCTCTACCCCCCTAAAAGTAGCGTCTCCCGCGACGTCTTCCCCTCCCCCCATGGTCGGCGCTATCCTATTTGCCTATGCCAATGGTATAACATCATCACGCCCATTGACTGACCCGTTTATAACATCATCAACTACCCATTGACTAACCTGACTATATGTCCTCCAGACCCGGTGACATGTGCACGACGCCCTCAATAAAAACCGTCGGTAGAGGCATGCCCACGGTCTCACGCAAAGCATCCTTGGTCCTCTGCCCATCGTGAAGAGGCTGGTCGGGCACTAGACGCGGGTCCTCGAGTGCTGCGACCGCAGTCTTGTGCAACCTCTCCGGCTCCACCTGCATCCCAGCTGCCTTGACTCGAGTTGCCTCGCCTCCAACTGCCTCGCCTTCAGCTGCGTCGCCTCTAACTTCCTCCCCCTGCATCCCAGCTGAAGTCGCCTCGCCTCCAGCTGCCTCCCCCTGCGTCCCTGCCAAGGCTGTCTCGACTATTGTTGTCTCCCCCTGCGTCCCATCGTGAACCTCAGTCACCGGATCGATGTGGGCGGCCGCCTGTGCGTCAGGGGGGATCTCCATAAACGTCCCCAACTATCTCTGTCGCTCCTCCGCTGCTAGACGGGCCAGCTCCTGCGTCCTGGGGTCGGCTCGTGCCAGGAGGCAAGCTCGGCGACTATCAAGCCTGTCCAACCTCTCTGCAAATGTCTCTCCAGGGGGTGTGACGTCCTCATCAACCTCCACCTCCGCTGGCGACGCTCCTAACTCTCCATGCATGGAAGGGGTAAAAGTCTCCGGCTGCATGGCGCTGATCTGTTCTAATATGGCCTGCATGCCGACACTGAAGTCCCCCCGAGAATCGCTCTCTCCGGGGGGCGGTCCCAAATCACCAAACTGACTAAAACCTCTGCCATCGCCCGTGGATATCCCTTCATCACGACCCCCCCTAAGAGCGTCTGTGTGAACCGCCTCCTGAACTGGACCACGTCCGTCTCCTGCCAACCGAGCACTATGTCCACTAGTCCGCCCGTCTACATCTCTCTCGTCCCTCTCACCCGGTGAAGGACCACCCACTAAACTCTCCTCTAATCGTTGTCTTGGGCCCTTCACTAATCTATGCAGTCGGCCTGCGGGGGGCGAGCCTCGATGAAGCTCCTCCGACGGAGGGGCAACAACGGTGTATGAAGTCGTCCCACTGCGAACACGTCCGCGATGCTGCCTAGGAACGCCGCCACCATAAGCTGACTCTGCCCGCTCGAACGTGCGGATCCATGCACTGTGTGCGTATCGATAAACTAAGGTCTAGGAGACGCAGGCCCTTCTCGCTCAAAAGGGCTCCCGTCACCTCCACCAAACAGGTCACCCCCGCCTCTACGTTTACGGACGTCCTCCGGGTCGCTCTACTCATCAACCTTCTGTGCAGCCGGATGGGCAGCAGGTCACACCCGCTCGTCCTCCTCCTCAAGGCCCTCGTCATCACTGTCGTCGTCGTGCAACGTGGCAGCTCGAGTCCCAAGAACCTCTGCAACCTCTCCAAGAGGAGCTCTCGACCCACACGGGTCTCGCGTCCACGAACGTCTTAGCCTCTCCTGGTCCTCCTACGTCCTGCCGGCGTCCGTCCCCTGCCACGACGGTTGAGTCCCGATGCCTCCCTCCACATCCAACATCGACCCATCGACCGTCCACGACAATGCAAAGTCGTGACCAGCCCGCTGGTGAGAGAGAAGGCGGACGTTGGCCGAGATCTCGACCAACTTCGCAACCTTCTCGAACTCGAGCTTATTACACTTCTTCGTGTGTACACCCTCGTGGACGGCCCAATTCCTCTCTGCGGAAGAGGAACACGTCCACATGTACATGACACAAAGAGTGATGGCCTGCAGCTGTGGGGCGCACTGTCCCCACTCGACCACCAACAACCGGCCTCGTAAGTCTCCACCTCGCCAGTGCACCTCTGTGCCTCCCTGTCTCCGTCCCTTCCCCCCCACGCAATCCCCCCTCTCCGTGTGTGGAAGTCGCGCAGCTGGGCACATGCGGTCTTGTAATTGGGGTTTGCGACACTAAACCCAGTCTGTGTGAGGATGTACGTCTCTGCCTCCCGCACGAATCTTGCATCGTAGTCACTTACCACGCCCTCGTAGTACCTCTGGTCTCGCCGACTAGGACAGAGAAGGTGAGCAGCGCCTTGCGCCAGCTCCAACATGTGAGCGCACCGAGCCTGCACTTTCTGCATAATAAAGTGCGCAACATCCGATGGAAGTGCACAAACCTCCCGTGCCACATGGCGGTTCACATCCTGCGTCCACCGCACAACCCGCAATATGTGCAGCCCTCACCAGTCCCACCTGCGAAGCATGTCGTACACGGGCTCCATAATGCGGACAAGGACGCCCATGGAATCCCACCAAGGGCCATGCCGCACCTGCCACCTAACCCACCGAGCCAACTGAGCAACGCTACTGGTCCAGGGGACCAAACCCCAACCATTGTCGTCCACCGTCCTCTCCAACACTGACCTCACTGCCATCTAATGCTGCATCATAGCGAACACGAATGCGAAACGTGTTTCGCAGGGATAAATGAGACCCATCTGCGCGCTCCCCCCTGGAAGATATGCAGAGCAGCGTCGTGCTCCTCAATGAAGCGCACCACCGCTCTCCCCCGCAGAATGATGTCCTTCGACCACGGGCTTGACAAGCCAATATCTGACAACATTTTGTTGCAGACATGCACTGCGCACGGAAGCCATGTGATCCGTCGAAGCTCTGGCCTCTGCTGGGGCCCCCAGAGCATGTTTGTCGCAGCGGCGTCGTGCTCCTTAATGAAGCGCACCACCGCTCTCCCCCGCAGAATGATATCCTTCGACCACGGGCTTGACAAGCCAATGTCTGACAAGATTTTGTTGCAGACATGCACTGCGCACGGAAGCCACATGATCCGTCGAAGCTTTGGCCTCTGCTGGGCCCCAGGAGCATGTTTGTCGCAGCGACGTATGCAGAGGCAGAGTCCGTGCAGATGGCATTCACCCACCGAGGAGGGAAGTCATCGAACACCTTGATCCAGTGCGCTAAAACATCAGGCGCACGGCCTTGCTCACCCTTCTTGTTCATCGTCCTCACCATCATCACTCGGTGCGACCCGTCGGCAAGGAAGTTAACGATCGGTCTAGCATCCCTTGACTTCCTGTCGTCCGACATGATGGTGGCTCCCGTGACATAAAAAGGAGCCCTGACCTCTGTGAGATCACCCGCCACATCGTCCGCTGTGTGGACAACCGTCTCCATGTCGGCAATCTCATTGTACGACGGCCACAAAACCTTCACTGGCCCCGGCAAGTCCCTGAAGTGTTTGACGAGGTCCTTCCCCGACTCGCTCCGGAATACATTAAACGACAAATGCTGGCTGTCGACAAACCTCAAGAACTTCTTCTTTAACTTCAACTGCCATTGCGAAGAGTACGACCTTTTGATGGTGTTCAGTCTCAACCGCTTTTGCCCAACCTGCCTTGCCCCCTCCTCTCTCTCCTTTCTCTTCCCCACAGGAGCCGCCACGTCTTCCGCTTCCGGATGCACCTGAGTGCGAGCCGACACGTGCGCATCCTGAAAGAAATGGCCTTGCTGGCCCCCTAGCTCGTGAACAACGCCCTTCCCTCGGTCCCTCGTCGACGGCCCAGCCTGTGCACCCCCGTCCTCGACGTTGTCAACGCCGCCCACCCCCTTGTCAGCCCTCGCCTATCCCGCCCCCCCCTCGTCCCGGTGCGGATCCATCGCAGGTGTCGGACCGTGAAGCTTTTCGAACCGAAGCATCTGGTCAAGGATCTTGCCCTCGAGCTTGTAGTCCGTGTTGTAGTGTTTGTCCACCAGCACCTCGTCATTCACTCACAGACACCCTTTTCCCTGCCTCAAATGTCGTGCCGCCACATGCGGTTCCCGTGGAATGGCGGAACCTCTCACCGAGACTCTGACCCACGCGAATGTACTTGTACACACAACACTTTTTCTGCGCCTTGTGATTCTCGTCTTCCCTGGCGTCCTCAAAAGTCAGCGCCAGCCGTCGCGGCATCTTTCTCGTGTGTTGAAGTCGTCCGCGACCAGACAAATACATGCCCTTGAGACTCCAAGGGCCCGCTGTTGTCTTTGAAGAACCACCCAGCACCGCCAAGCGGGCCCAGCCCCCCTGCTAGACGCACCGAGGAACCTGCTCTCCCACACCGATCCCCCGTCGTGGCGGAAGGAACGCCTCGTTTAATTATCGAACGCGCATTCAAACGGAATTGAACGCGCACGTTCAAAAACCAAACGAACGTTCAAGTACCCCGCACGCAGAGAGGGAACCGCCGCCAAGCCTCCGCCTCGTCGGGCATCGGCGTCGTCGTCGTGGTCGTCATCGTCTTCTGCCTGTTGTCGTTGTCGTCGTCGTGCCCGTCGTCCTACGAACCCCCCCCGACGGCGGCCAAGCGCGGCGAAGTCCGCGGCCGCGTCCAGGTCCACGACCCCGTGGACGTGTTCGCGTGGCCGCGCAAATTCGCGGCCGCATGGCGGCCAGTGGGGAGGGGGGTTCGGGATTCGGGAAGTCCCATGGGGCGGCGCAACCCCAGCCCCACCCCCTCAAAGAAAAAAAAAATGCAGAAAGAACGATTTTTGGGGGGGGAGGTTTGGGTGACTGAAGGTATTTCAAAAAAAAAAAAAAAAAAAAAAAAGCATGTTTTTTTTTTTTTTTTCCGTTGATTGATTGGCCCCACAGGCGCGCACACACACACACACACAAACATTGGTAGTATTGTATATTTCCATGTTCTAGCGGAAGACTCATTCGATTTTGCTTTTTTTTCTTCGTTGATCGATTAATTGATTGATTAATTGATTGATTGATTGAGTGATTGATTGATTGATTGGGTGATTGATTGATTGATTGATTGATTGATTGGTGGGGGCGGGGTCGACCCCCACTCCCCATAGGAGCAGATTGATTGATTGATTGGTGGGGGCGGGGTCGACCCCTACTCCCCATAGGAGCACACACACACACACACACACACGTAGTATTGTATATTTTCCTAGGTTGTTTTATCGGACGTCCGAGACCCCCCTGACCGTTCGGGATGTCCGACCGGACGTCTAGTTCGGGACATTGAAAAAAATCATATGGCTTCTACCTTGCATAAGGTGTATGCCACCAAAATTTTGGCTCATTTGAGCCAGTAGAAAAAAAGATAAAAATCTTCAAAATTTATAATCCCCGCCTATACCCCTCCTATCCCCATCAAAACCCCTCGTACCCCCCCCCTCCCACCCCAAATAGCACCCTATCTCCAAATGCTCAGAAAATTCTGAATTTTTTTATGGAGGGTCTCTATAGCATGAGCAACATTGTCATAATTTTTTATTTTTTTTTATTTTTTAATGCCAAAAAGTGGTTCTCCGGGATCCCGGATGACCCCCAAACGGACGGATGGGGGAGACGTCCGGCCGAGACGTCCGGCCATCGGACGACTAGTAACCTAAATATTTTCATATTCTAGCAGAAGATTCATTCAATTTTGCCTTTTTTTTTTTTCGTTGATTGATTGATTGAGTGGTTGAGTGGTTGGGGAGGGGTCGCCCCACCCACCCGCCACCCACCACACGCGCACACACATACACACACACACACACACACGCACACACACACACACACACAATCTCACACTCTCACAAATGGCAATCCCACGCGCGGGCGATGGCGAAGGCGCGCGCGCACACACACACACACACACACACAC